ATTGAAGGCCACCGACCAATCCAGAAAGGTAGAGGCATTGAAGCACGCAATCTTCATCCAATGCAGTATACATGCTGCGTGAGCATCGTAGTAACAAGTGGGGTTGCACATTATGACGGCGGGGTTGAGCAGGTATGAGGTAAGACGCTCGTCAGGGAACAACATGCGACGCCTCAAAGGCTTTCAGCTCGAACAACACCTATTCACTGCTTGGACTGCTTGATACAACAGAAGAAACGGCGTTCTCATCATTTTTAACAACATGTCCGACTACAGCGATTATTGTTGCAAAAGGCGAACGATTCAGCAACTTCCAGTCCCCGCTCGGAAGGGTCACAATGCCATACTCAACTCCAACTACTTAGACGATATTGTCGACGCGATTGGTACGTGGAGCTGCCAGCGCATCCTCATAGTGCACTCGAAGGCGCTTCACGAGAACACGGATATTGTCGAGAAGCTGAAGGAAAAACTGGGATCGTTTGTTGTAGGGACAAAGTCAGGGGTCGGCGCTCACTCTCCATACGAAGACGTACTGGAGATCGCGAGACTATTCCACGAAAAGAACGCGGATTGTCTGATCAGTATAGGAAGTAGCAGCTACTCGGATGCAAGCAAGATCGCTCGCTTGACGCACGCGAATCTCGCTCCAGATAACCTCACGGTAGAGGCCATGGAATCCTTGGTAGACCAAGAGAAGGGAAGTGCAGTTGATCTGAAGGACCCAACGACAAAACTCATCCTCGTACCGACGAGTCTATCCGCAAGCGAATGGAACAACAATTCATCTGCAACGAACCCCAAAACAAAAAAGAAGCAGCATTTCGCAAGTGAGCATGCAGCACCAGACCTCATCCTCCTGGATCCTGAAGTAGCGTCCACATCGCCTCGGAAGTTGTGGCTATCGAGCGGGATGCGCGCGATAGATCATTGCGTCGAAACGGTATGTACTGCCCTCGGAGTTTCGCAAGGTAGAGACTGTATTGACACTGTGTCATCAACAGATGCTCAACGCTAAGTGCACCCGAGAGGTTTTTCACCATATGGAAGATGCGCTTGCAATCCTATTGAAAGGGCTGAGAAACTACAAAAACGGCGAAAGCGACAGCAACCGATCCGAGCTGCTCGATGGAATCGGAAATTGCCAGATAGGTTCTAGGAACGCGATGATGGGTCTCATACTGTGGAGCGTTCCGATGGGGCTTTCGCACGCCATTGGACATCAGCTGGGAAGTGTATGCGGCGTTATGCACGGCGTCACGTCTTGTGTCATGCTCGCCCCTGTTCTACGGTACAATGCCTCGAAGTCGGAGAAGCAGAGAGAGGTACAGCAACGCGTGCTGGGAATCTGGAACAAGGTCCTTGAAAGCGACGAGCCAAGCCTTGCGGATGCGGTGGCCAACTTTGTGAGAAGCCTTGGGTTGCCGAGTACGCTGAACGAAGTAGGTGTTACGGAGCAAAAGGAAATTGAGAAAGTAGCGGAGCGCACCATGACCGACGTGTTCGGAGCGATGGAAGGTATGGGCGAGAAGGAGGATGTGCTGGCTATCTTGGCTTCAGCAAATGCCCAAGGTACCGAGGATGGAGGACTGGAAGGAGGCGCACCGATGTAGAACACGCTCTAGGTAGAACAAACGTAACACTCGCTTATATCAGCTGCGCTCTCGACTTGCCCTTGGGGAAATAATGCAACCGCAGGTCACCCATCGGAAGCTTCTCAGACTTTGCTATATCTTCCATAATGACAGTCGCCAGCTCAGTAGGAAGCTGGCCACCGCCCCATCGCCTCATAGTCCTCCAAATCTCGTATATCCTGCTGCTTTCGTGCAGGAACTTTGTGGATCGACGGAACCAGCCAGCGGTCATGTGCTGAGCCACAGTGTACGAGCGGGCAAATCCCCACCTCTCCCAATCTTGCAGATCTTGCGCGGCCCATATGGGGAGTAGATCACTAGCCCTTGACAACGCTAGCGTTACCGGTGCCGTAGCTTTGTCCCAAGCAATGAGTTTGGGGGTTGATGATGCAGATGTGCGCGGTTGGGTAGAATGCGAGGATGGTGGATCCCACTGATCCACACAAATCGTCAACAGCGCATCATCCAGAATCCAATACAGACTCTCGCGTTGACTGTGTAGGAACCGCTCCAGTCCAACGTCGTTGTGTCGCAGAACATTAACACCCCAATCCACCAGTAAACATGCCGCCTCTGCCCACGATGCTGGCGCGACGTCCACCAGCTTGTGCACGGTCGCGGCAAATTCGCGAGTACGATAGAAGAGCATTTGGTATATTTGCGGGATGACAGTCAGACCATGAAGATCGGCTAGGGTAGTGATGTTCATGGATCGGATGGCAAGGTCCATGGTGTAGGTGGGGTGGTGAGACCCGCGGTCCCATGGTCGCAAAGTAGGGACGCGGAATTGTCCATCTTGCGGCAAGGGATCAGAGCCTAGACGTGGCGGAACCTTGGATTCGGGAGGTAGATTTAGCGCAGGCATCATGGTGACCATCACAGCTACAAGGCAGGCGAGAGTGATGTAGGAGCGATGATTGTGGATGCAGTTGGTCGCGGCCTTACACCAAGTGAGCTGAGCCGAGCTGAGCTGAGGTTGTTTCGTTGAGAAGCGGGGTACACAGCCCCTTTGAGCTAAGGGAGTGCAAGGAAACCTATGGGATAACGATTCAGAAAGCGTGCCTGAGTGTGAAAGGGTCCCTCACGTGGAAGGGTGGCTCCTGCCCAGGTGCCCATTCGGCACGCTAGCGCTCTCCGACGCCGGACAGCCGGCGGCTCTGGACGCGTACGCCTCAACACACATCGACCCTTCTTCATACAGCCCTTCGATAATCGTGTGTTATTCGACCATCCGCGCCATTCATAAGTTCGCGAGGCCCTTCTCAACAGAGTCAAAGGGTTCAATTGCGCATTCTTGCCCGTATACCCATGTCATATGCTCCGGTCTAGCCCGTTATGGGCGTCGATCATCGCCCGCGATGACAATGGTAAACCATACGAACCACCAGTTCCGCATGTCGAGAGAAGAATGCGGTCGACAACAGAGCTTCAAAGCATCTTAGTGGATGTATCGAGCGGGTAAAGTATCACCATGTAATGCAAACCCTCATTCTGGGCTCAATACATCGAATATATCTCATCATGATCAAGACGTAGTCTGTGGCACTATGTTCCCTTCATGCGATATCATCAATGCTTCCTGCTTGATGTGAGAGCTCATCCGTCAGTATAAGAAGGTGACTTCCCCATTCTAACATAGCAGCAACCAACATCTTTACATCCTCAAGATTCAGAGTTTCTTCTCTAACATCTTTTTCTCATCCTTCATTCTGACCTAAGGGTCAAGCAACATACAAGATGATGAAGTCCTCTTCCATCATCACCATGTTCTTCTTCTCCTTCGGTGCGGTCTTCGCCGCTGTCGTCCCCCCTTTCGTCACCTCTGCCGCATCCGAAATCTTTGCCACACCTGGCCCCCGTTCCGAACCTCTCTGTGCGCCTCTCGGTGACAGCACTGCCCCGGAGCCATCCTCCAACGCTCTCTCAGCTTTCACAGATGACGAGAAGTACGACGAGTTGGCCTTGACGGCCCCGATCCCTGCCGGCTACACTGCCACCATGAAAAACGCAAACTGTGCCTTCTCGTCCAACAGGTACATGCTGTACGTTCAACTGGACTCATACGACCCGGAGGCTTGCGCCGAACTCTGCAACAACCATGAAGGCTGCGACTCCTGTAAGTTGTACCCTTTGGCATGATATTATCATACAGCAAAGCTAATCATCTTCCTCTATGTAGTCAACATCTACATCCAGCGCAGTCCGTCCCAGATTCCCGGACCTGCTTGCCCCAACCCTAATCCCATTGCCGTCGCCCAATGTGCCCTCTACTCCCTGCCGGAGGACGCATCTTCTTGCACAAACTTCGGTCAGCACATTGGCCCCGCCGATGCCAACGGTGAGGCCTTCAAAACGGCTATGCGTAGCTCCAATGGTACGTTCTTCTCCTATACATCTACGTACCAGCTCAAAACTAATCAGTGTACGCAGCATACAACAAGATCGCTGTCAAGGAAGTCACCGTGACTGTCACCACTACCCACCACATGCACACGACCTTCACCAGGCTTGTCTCAAGGAGTGATATCTCACGGAGAGACATCGCCACTACTATTGACAATGGTGATCGAACAATCAACATGACTACTACTGTCACACACACTCGTTCTGCAAAGTCCAAGTCTGTGGCTGCTGGAACCCCGGCTGGTGTTGTCACTGTCACTCGGTCGGCAAACCCTGCGTCCCACGTTGGTACGGTCACTGTTACCCGTTCGGCAAACCCCACTGCATATGCTGGTACTACAACTGTTACTCGGACCAGGTCCCAGAGCGCAGGCGCAACGCCATCCCCGTTCCAGTCTGTCATCTACACAACCGTCACATCCTACTACGACAAGCGCGCCGAGCCGTACACTGCGCCTGCCGAATACGTCACCGTCACTGTGGAAGGAGAACCTACATACGTTGACACTACGACCACGACCATCATCAACACGTCTGGCGTAGTGACCGTAACTACCACTATCCCCAACACCCTACCCGCAGAGACCACGACCATCACCGTTGATGACGCTGAGACACCTACCTACGCTGACAAGCGCAGCCTGGGCCCTGCTGTCACGGCTGAGCCAATGCTCACCATCACGATTGACGAGAACTACGTGTACACTGGTCCTACGGATGTGCCTATGAAGACCTATACTATCTACCCAGACCACTAGAGTGAGTAGTAGGGGTGCATCTGACTTTCTTGTGCTTTGGAAATTCGCTGGACTTAGCGCGGAGTCTGGCGTTAACAAGAGAATTGGATTTTGACTGTGCGGGCTGATGGTGTCTTGACTGCTTGCGCTGTAGACATAACTAGCTAATGATAACAACCCGTAAAACAACTTGTAACTTTCCAGTGATGCAAGATAACACCCCTTCTCACTCCCCAGCACAATCATCGCAAAACCACTCTCCCTCCGGAACTGTCTTCGACGTCATCCCGATGCAGTCAAAGTGGAACCACTCGCCCGCGCAATCCTCCCCATCACACCCCACCATCCGACCAGTCTCACGCCGACATCCTCGGATACAGTAGTGGCTTGACTCCGGCTCCGGCTCATTGTCGCCGCCATCCTCGAAACCCTCCTCAGAAGCAGAGGCGGAACCATCCTCGTCGTCGGCAACCAGGATTGGTGTGTCACCGCTGGCACCAACAGCAGGAAGCCCGGCGACTACATCGTCACCAGCCTCCTCAACCTCCTCACTCTCTGCGTCGTTGTCGGCGCCAGGCTCCTCAGCGAGTAGCTGCTCGACGACCGCAAGGGGAACGTCGGCGGCAAACGCCACAAGCTCAGCCATCTTGCGCCTCTTGCGCGGCATGTCGTCGTCAGAGTCATCTGACTTGCGCTTGTTGGAGGGAGGCGCGCAGGACGGACAAGACCAATGCGCAGGGCGATCTTCCAGCCCTACACAGCTGAGATGGTAGTACCGGGGGCGGCACCGGCGGTTGACGCACCCAATTATGGGTGTGAGGTAGGTGTTTGGTGTGTTGCAGGTGCAGATGCCGGGAATTGGAGGAGAAGCGCCAGCGCTTCCCATTTTGAAAATGGCTTGCTCGGTGATGGTAGAGGTCATGATGGCTGTTGTGAGGAGAGATTTGAAGATTGTATGAAGAAGTGGCTTGGAATTGGTACTGGTAAGAGGAGATGGGAGTAGAGGTTGCTGGTAGAAAGTAGGAAAGGCCAGAACTGCTTGATATAAGGAGGCCCAGGGCCGTACTGCAATGCTGGTCTATTGTTTTTGTGATAACAATGGCGAGATCAGAATACTGCGACGACAATAGCACGGCAGTGAGAGCGAGGTGAAGGTGGATTTCTTGGCACGGATGTGAGAGACGAAATCGCGAACTAGATGTAACGAACAATAGGCGGAGCGTTTGCAATAGTCACAAACAATCCTTGCTGCCCTCTCACAATACATATTACCTTACTCTCCGTGACCAACGATCTGCCTCCTCCCATGTACACCCTCCCACTGCTCCCAAAGCCCCTTCCAAATGTCTCTCTCACTCCTGCCTAGACCAGCGAACATAGCGTCTAGTCCATCCCTGTGCAAGCTCGCCGTGCCGATAACTTCCCAGATGCCTGGCATCAACTTCTCCCTCACCTCCTGATCTAATCGTCCGTTGAGCTGGAAGCGGCAGAACGATGCGAGGAGAGGGTACAGGAATTTGCTAGCCTTGTCGCGGGCTGCCTTGATGGGGTCGTTGAGGTCTTTGGAGTTACGTGACTGATGATGCTGGTGTGCCTTGGTTATAGAAGATTGCGGTGGGTTGCACAGAGTCGAGAGAAGACGCGTGAATTGCGCTGCATTTGCGGGTGTGAGACGCACTGGCTCCGTAGCTGTGACGGTACGTAGCCACGAAGGTAGAGCGCCACTGCGACTAGCATTCGGAATGAACAGGCAGAACAGCAGGCCTTGCAGAAGCGGTAAGAGGAGATGGAAGCGTCCGCCTAGGCGGCCACGGTGTACGAGTAGGGCGAGGCGACTCGTATGGCAAAGCCTTGAGAAGATCTCGGGAGCATACTGAGATGACAGTACGGGGCTGCTTCGGGATGTGAGCTTTACGAGTACGCTGAAGACGCATTCGATACTGTGCTGTGAAGCAAGCGAGAGTTTATCATTCAGAATTGTGTCAATGCAGCCGAGCAGAGCGTTGAAAGAATCATAGTCGGGGCTCTCGGCAAGCAGAACGCATATCCTAGGTAGGAGTGCAAGCTGCCTCTGCTTGAGCTCGGCGTTGGACTCCAGCTGGTCGTCCACGGTCTTGATAAGATCGTCGAGGATGCGGTAGGACGCGGCAAGGTTTGGCTGTTTTTGATCAACAGTCATTGTTGGAACCAAGTCTAGCTTCTCGTGGAAGGCAAGCGGGCCGAGCGTATTGCGCAGTGTTGTATACACGTTATCTTGTATGCGAACTGGGCTACTTCTGAGGACGGTGAGCGCCAGGCTGATGAGCCACTTGACGTCTGGGTAGAGCTCATATTTGGCTATCAATGTGTAGACTCGTGCGAAGTAGTCAACAACCTCGCTCGGGATGAGGACCGATGGATCGATATATTGCTCGAGGTCAATGGCGTCCTTGAGCCATGTGCGGAGCCATGTCTGTACGCGGCCAAGCTGTTTCACTTCTTTCAAAACGTCTATGGACAACTCATTGAAAGCGTCCAACGAGCCTTGAAGCAGTGCAATATCCTCACTACCAAGACATTGCTTGAGCAGGTCGACATAGCGCTCAATATGAAGCAATGAGTTCTGCTTCTGGGCGATTGACGTAGCTCGCAGGATCGAGAGCCTCGCTAGCGAGCACTTGTTCGTGGCTTTTGCGATGGATAGCAGCCGTCCTGCGTAGGCGATGAAGAATTCTTTGTTTTGGGCTTGAGCCTGGTTCGGAATGATATGGCCAAGGGTTCTTTGGACGAGCTCTCGCAGTAGCTGCAATGCTGCATCTGTTTCGAGATTTTGACGATGCAGCTGTTCCGCGACGTCGAATATGACGTCTGCGTCGGTAGAAACTTTGGCTTTTGCATTTGGAACATATTGAAGATGCGCCATGACACTTAAGGGTACTACTGTGTCGCTCTGTCCGAGGTCGAGGAGTTCGGTCGTGCGGTCCAGTATGGCTTGTCTTTGCTCGCGGGACAAAGCCGAAGGTTGAATATGAAGTATTGCTTCGCCGACCACAGCAGGCATCTTGTTTCCGGCTCCCTGACCGAGAGCCTCCACAAGAGCTGCACAGTATGCGTCTTGTATGACGGAGTTTCCATGCTCGAGGATGGACTGAGAAAGTGATTGACAGATGAGATCCCTGGTAACGCCATCGAATTGAGGTAGCTTCGATAGTAAGGCATGCAAAGATTGGCGGCATGTATCCTTATCTGCGTGCTCGAGGAGACTGATAGAGTATGCGCAGAAAACTTGGATCATCTTCTGCTGTGCGTCGGGTTCTAGCTGGTCGGAAGTCAGTGAGCTGATCGCCTTGCCTAAACCACTGCGAATAATATCCTCCGAACCGGACAGGGTCTGAAGACGATCACAAGTGTTAAGCCAGAACAATGTTGCAGCAGCTCTTGCAGATGCATCTGCGCCTTCGCCGGCGTCTCGGCGCCCTGCTGACTTGACTTTCAGAGCTTGTTCGAGCAGCGGGTAGAGTAGCTCATGTTGCAGCGGGGATGATGCGTGAAGCTCGATGGGCCACAACTTCTCTAGTAGCTGGCACAGTGTGAACCAGGAGAGGTGGGCCTTGGTGTAACGGCTGTAATTGAGTTCCTGAACCCATGTCTTGTATGTGAGGAACAAAGCATGAAGCTCAGATTTAAGTGCTTCGATCGTGTTCTCGGACTGGATTGATTGGAGAAGAGCCGGCAGCAGGACAGCACTGCTTGCTGCATTCTTGTAAGCGGCGAGTTTCCTAACCTTGACGTTCTCTTCGGCGGAGGTCTCGATTGCCACAGCAAGCTGCGCCAGGCGCTCCGCATGCTCCTGAATCAGTGTTGTTATCTGGTTCTGGGTCAAGGATGGTTCGAGAGACTCCGCTAGAGCATTGTGCAGGGCGCGATCTTCCCAAATGATTTCCTGTCCGTCCTTGAGAGAATTGCGCTTGCCGTGCCTGTAGCTCTTGACCAACTGCTCATCCCATCTCCGGATGAAGCCGAGTAGATTCCTGTGGCGCACAAACGCCAGCATCAGTGGGTTGATGATCCTCTCCAGAATTTCAGCGCGACCTAAAGGAGCACCAGCCTCGTTGTTGGATGCAGTATGTCGCTTTTCTTTAGAGGCAATGGCTGTCTGCTTGTCGGTAAAGCCTGTGCCCTCCAACTCTGAAGCCGTTATCTTCTCGAACAAGAACTCAGTAAGGTCAGTCTGACGCTCTTGCGTGACTTTGGCTCCCAACTTCGACTCCACAAAGACCGATGAGTCGAGCTGAATCAGAGATGCGATGAGGGACCAATGCACCTGCTTCTCCTGGCGTTCGGGGTACTTCACACCACAGTGATACCAGAAGATCTTTTTGACAAGGTCTGCAGAAAGGCTTACTTCATGCGCTTGCAGAACGTGGATAGCACCGCTAAGCGCAGTAACGGCCGTCGGCCGTGTGATAAACTTCGGAGGTGTTGTTAGCGAGCACCCAGCACACTCAGCAAGCGCTGAAAAGACAGCTTGTATCCAAGGCTTCTCCATCGCCCTGCTCCTGGGCGTCCGTGATGGAGAGGCGCGGATTGCTAGATCGAGCACATGAAGGACTGTGTTGAAAAGAGATGCGAGCTCTGTGGGTAGCGCGTCGCCACCATCTTCAATCTGCGCAGCCTGGAGGAGCTTTGCGCGGAGCGGTTCCAGGTTACTTGCAAGGACTGTGGTATCTCGGGCGTTCGGACCAACATCGTTAGAGCCTGTAGCGACACTGACATCTGCAAAGAAAGCTGCTCTTGAAGGTGCGAGCAGGTGTCTCGCCAGAAGCTTGTCGAGCGCTGCGATTGCGCGATCAAGGGTTCTCTGAGAGCCTCTTGTTGTACCATCGCTACGCATCGTTTTGAGAAGTTCCAGCAATGTCAAGATAGGTACAAGGCACTCGGTGTTGAACTCCTCGGCGGATGCCCCAGTCTCGTCTTTGACCTCAGCGGTCCGCAGGTCCCACATGTCGAGCGCAAGCGACAGGTTCAGGTATTCGTCCAAAGAAGTATCCTCGGAAGTGGATGGAGGAGTCGCGCACAATATCCGGACAGCAGTAAGCCAGAACCTTAGGATGCGCGAGGCTTCTGCGCTGTCCGTCCTCAAAACCATCTTCATCAGCTCAGCCTGGGTAGTGTCGTCGCTCTGGTCGCTTCCGGCTAAGCGAGCGATAGAGTTGACCACAGTCCTGACCACGCCGAAAAGACGGTCCAGGTTTACAGGGCCGGCTGCTGTCGATGCTGCCGATGATGCCTCAGCGGTTCCTCGTTTGCGCTTCTTGGATGGTTTGGTTCCTTCGCGGACGGTCGCGCTCGACTCGGAGTCATCTTTCATGTGAACGTCTTCTGAAGTGGCCGTCGACTGTAGGACTGCGTCTGTGTTGAAGTTCTCAACGAGGGTTCTCTCCAAGATACTGGGGAAGGCGGCATCGCGTAGATGCGGTGCGCTTCTTGAGACGGGCAAGACATGTATCATCCAGTCGAGAAGCTGCCACGCGCTGGCATTTGTTCGCGCTGTCCGCCCGGTTTCCGTCTCGTCTTTCAACTTGTCGAGGATCCAGCGCAGAACCCATTCCGCTCTTGCGCGCACGAGTCGTCGTATGATTTCTGACCTTGTGTCGTGATCCGGTATGGTACTCCAGTCTTCGGGAAGGCCTATGATATGCGCAGCTTGGCGGATCTGTTCGTCGAGGTCGGAGAAGTCTTGGTTGATGGCCTGCAGCCGCGGTCGGGTCGACGCAGGGTCGTTCTTGGAGGCCTGCAATCATGTCAGCTTTAGATTTGCTCATGATCATGGAGAGCTCTTACCGGCTTAATCGGCGCCATCTTGTCACCTCGTTCCCGTTGTGAATGCAAGAACGGGAACAGATCGCAAAGGCCTGGTATGCGGAAAAAGTTTGGGCACGG